GAGCAGAGCGGAATTCAAAAGCCCCGTTTTTAACAATGCGTTACGCGTGACTTTTGATCATGGTTTCGGGGAAGTGGTTAACTACCGGGCCTACGTTACAAGCCAAGGATTATCGGAACAGTAAGAAAGCACTGATGCGAAATACCCACGCCATCATAAGTGCATCATAACAGCAAAAAGGCACCGATTCCAAGTGTTAATGCCAGGAGACAGTTGCGCTGCGCGGCCGCCGACACGCTAAAGCGCAACATTCCTGTAACAGCTACAAACATCGCTTGTCCACGCTTCAGTGGAATGTCACAACACGTCAGATCTCAAAGGGAGGAACGCCCCACCTACCTAATCCCTCCACGGCACCTCCATGAGCTCCGGCCTCTTCTCCGTCCTGTACGACAGCAGCTTGGCGTAGCTCACCAGCAGCTTCCTCCAGTAACACGACACGTCCTTCATGCGCAAGTTGTCCAGTATAAACTGTTGCCCGCGCCTGGCGATCTCGCGCGCCACGCCTTCGTTCTCCTGTGCGAACAAAATGAGCCTCTCCAGCTCCGCCTCGGTCGGGTTCCCACGCACCGGCACGTAGTGCACCCATGGCTTTAGCTGCGGGTAAAAGAACTCGCTCCACTCGTCGCCCACGTGGAAGACGAGGCTGCCGCAGAGGAAGAGGTGCTTGAAGCGGAAGCTGGCGGCCACGCCGCGGAAGTTGAAGAGGTACTTGTAGCGGCAGTGGTCCTCGAGTGCCACCTCGGCGGCCGGCTGGGCGCCGAGCGTGTCGCTCTCGGACCGCCACGCCTGGTTCTTGGTGTACTGGGCGTCGACGAGCGCCGGCCGGCGCCGGCTTAGCAGCACCAGCGGGTCACGCTCGGCCGAGGTGCGCGAGCCGCGGAAGAAGGCGCGGTCGGCACGCTCCTCCCAAGGCGTGGCGCGCGCCGCCCGCGAGATGGACACGATGTGCTGGTCCCAGCGGCCCAGCCCGGTGGGGTACAGCGAGATGGCCGGCCCACCCGTCCAGAAGGTCCACGCCGGGTACGTGATGTCCCAGTAGTCAGGCGTCTTGCTGAAGGAGAACACCGGCAAGCGGCGCCCATGGTGGAGGTTCACCATCGGCCAGTCGCGGGTGTTGAGGACAAACTCCATATCGGGCAGCGTGTCCACCAGCTGAAGAATGAAGTGCTCGACACCTCGGCAACGGAACTCAAACATGCAGTCTGTCTGGCGGTACAACTTGTGGTCAATGATCTGGTATATCACTCCAAGGTCCATGGCATCCTCCACCATAGACTTCGTGATTTTTGATTCCTTGAAAGTTGCAAGATCAGACTTGATGAGAGCTTTGTGGCAGCCACAGTTTTCTCTGTTACACTCAACATAGCTGCTGATGCTTTGCTCCACAAGTCGGAGCTCTGGTTTCCACTTTTCATTAACTTCTTTTGAATACTTTGCCTTCTCATGTTCCAGAGATATATCTGAGTCATCTTCCTTATTCCCACAACTGCTAGCCACATGAATGATAAAAACACATGCTAACAACAGCAATGTTTGAATTTGCCAGCCCCAAATCATTGGTATTCACCTTTCTATTTTTTGGGTTGCTTTTCTGCTGTTGATGGCTAGCCGCCTTTATCACATACAGAAGCCAACTATGTCTTTAATATGAGAATTAGAAGATACTCAAGTGATGTTTCACTGGAGATGACTATCCAGCTCAACTGGGCCTGAAAAAAACAATGTTATTGTTAGACATACATCCATTTTTTCAGTGAGCTTCTCCATTTATAGGTACATTATGATAACCAATGCAAGCCACATTATCTGTAGCAGTTCCCCAGTCATCAATCATCTCTGAATAATACATTCTTTTACTAGAATAGCTTATCTGATAAGAGGTTCATACATGATGATTTGGAATTCTCGCAGCACTTCACCAGTTTCCAAGGGTGAACTCGCAATCAGGGAATTGGCCATGCATGACTTTTTGAACAACTGCAGCTCTACTACCCTAGCTCAGGAATTCAAGCTGACTGCATGATTTTTGCTCAAATACAGTGTTACTACATGGCTGCTCTATGCCTGCATGACCTTCCTCGCCAGTCCCCAGTGCAGCACCTTGGATGTGAGCTGGGACATGGACTAGCAATGGCCAAGGAGCCAAGCCCCCTCCCCTTGTCCAGGGTTACACTTAACAGTGTGTGGTTTTGCAGGAATTTTGTCCCATTTGTAAGAAATTGGGAACAATGGCTTTCCCACTAAATGGAAATTCTGGCCTTGCGCCTAGTCGTGGTGTGTCCATGATATATCTTTCACCTGGTCAAAAAGGTCCTCCACTCCCTGAGCAGCAAGGTACACTTGGATTCCGTGCAATTAATAACACCTTTTAACTTTTGGTTAGCGCTGCCCGCAGAATGCTCATGGTGGTCATTTCTCTTCTAAAACAAGAAAACTACTCGAAAAGTGCCAACTTGGAACATACTGCCCTCCCATGAAGCACAAACTACCTCAATGCCCACCACAAACTATGCCGCCTCAAGAACCAAACACACACAGCGCACCCCCACACCTCGGAAACGCTGACGTCGCCTCAGGTTTAGTGCCTTGACCTCGCTCCATCGCCTCTGCAGTGCAGCTACCAAGGTGACGGCTAAAGGAAACAATGTGCCTTCGCAGACTCATCAAAGTAGAATGCGTAATTAAGTACAAGTACTAGCTGATGCTCAGGTCGCTCACATCGCTTTTTGCCAATCTCTATTACTTCTCAACGATGCATTAGGCATATTTGCTAATTAATGGTCATTAATAGACACAATGGTGATAAATGCCAACGGACTTTTTGGCAAGGATTTTTAATACGTCATTTAGCTGTTGCAGCACGAACGGCAAGGTTCTCAACCCGTGATCCACGCTGTGTTGTTGTTACCCTGGGGTTGTCGCGTGTGGGGTAGAGTCGTGTGGTTGTTGGGCGCTGGACGACAACTTATCTGGCTTACAGGATCTGACATCTCAAATTTGGTAATTGAATTCCGCGTGCACATTCTTCGGGTCCAAGCAAGTGAGCTGAAAGCTTCAAAGGTAAGCTTCAGGAGACCCTCAGATACCTACCACTTCTTGTTAATTCACTCGCACATTTCGACTTACGATAGTACAAAATGAAGATATGCTCAATGCTGCCAACAAATACTCGTTCACGATCCGTGCTCTTGCGCTTGGTGATCTGGGACGTGTGAAGCTTGGTTTACGAGACATGAAATGGGCCTGGTGGGCATTATTATCGCAGGCGTCTCACTGGGCTGGGCATCGTGATTCCGAGGTTGTGTCACAATTCAAAGCTTTTTGATGTAGTCTTTTGCTGACCTGATTATTGCATGACAAGCAAAGTGAAAGGGACCGCTCCACATTATATGGAGTTTGGATCTGCAAAAAACATTTTTTGTATGCATCAAATCCAATTAACGGAGGTACACACGGACTTGTGTAGCCAAAATTTGATTGAGTGCAAAATGAGATTTGAGTTTGTGATTATGCAAAGAACAGTGAACAAAATTGTCATGGTGTATTAAGTAAGGGACCAAAACAGGACATACTGTTCACCTTTACAACTTCCTCAGTGACAGCTGTCAAAAAACAAAACAAACAAACTAGAATACAATGATGACCTCATGGCCACCATGTCAATAGCACTAAAATTTCTATCCTGTTATGCGATGTAGTCACTTCTTTAACCCATGGATGAAGTTCTCACCATCCCCATTGCCATGGGAAATATGACCCCTTGTTTGGACCTTTAAATGTAGCATCATACCATACCATCATGTGGGCATGTGAAAATTTGTTTCAGAATACCCCTATCCCCATCATCATTTGATGAATCTGTTCTTTTCTACTGGCCTGTGATGAGATTATTTTTGCCACTAGGGGTGTCACTGTATACTTTTGGGGACTGGGCATCACCCCAATGCTGACTTGAGCCCCTCAATGCTCTTCTAACCCCACTAGGCATATAAGCAAATAGGGAATACTAGATCAATGAAATTCATCAAGTGTGGACTGCTGGACTTTGGACCATTGGCACACTCGGCATGTAAGCACTATCAATATCATCATCATATATCATCATTATCACTATGACACTAGCTTCAAATGGAAAGTCATTCCTCAACATCAAGACAGTTTTGGAACTGACCAAGTTTTTTTTTAAAAATTTGAAGTCATCAGGGGTGTGTCCAAACTTTTGGGTAGAAATGGGGACTTTGGAGGGCATGTTAGGTTTGGCTCAGCCTCCAATTGATTTTAGAAAGTGTTCCCCCAGCTTGCTGCCCTTTATTTTTTCAAGTCAACAAAACCCAGGACACCCCTTTGTAGGCTGTCAGGACCCTCTGTACATAAAGGGACCACATAAGGTAGTTAGAGGGCCCTGCCAACCATGTAAGGGTACCTTGAGGTGTGCGGCCACCATGCCACTGACAATAACATTTGGTTGTTTCTCAGCAACCAATATTTAGAGAATTCATGTGGGGTTAAACCACACTTCAAATGCTTCCAGGAACTGAAGTCCCACTTTGCAGGGTCCCAGTCTGTCCTGAAGTCTCTTGAGAAATACCAATAAAACAAAAGTGGCCAGACCAACCATAAATTCATTTGGGTCTGGACTGCATCAATGTCAGTGATGGTCACACCCATGTGCATAGGCTGGGAGATATGAAAAAAGATCAGATATTTTAGGACGCCCACCCTCAGAACAGTGAAGGGTTTTCAAAATTGGGATTGCTCGTTGGCTAACGCCCAAGGCATATGTTCGTCCCCCAGGTGATTTGAGTCTGTGGCGCTTGGGGAAAGAACTCGGCCTCCGAATACCACGGTTGATTGGGGTACTGTAGCGGCAGGAGACCGGGGTGGCGGGGGCCGTCAGCAGGCTAATAGTCGTCTGTGAGTGTTGATCAGCGCCTTGTGGCCGAGACACTTTCTGAGCGGTGGAACGCACTGCACCCCTGTGGAAGGAGACCGGGGTGTAATGATGGTGGTCATCATCACCGTGATCGTGATGATGAAATGGTGCTTTTTTACGATCCAGTGCCTCGTTTTCGACATTTGTTTTATCACAGTGTATTCACGATCAGGATAGGGCTGCATGAAGCCGCTGAGAGCGAAGGCCGGGTTTTTACAATACAAGCTTCCTGGGCTCTGTAGTGCGGGCGGCGAGTTCTCAGTCGATTCGAGTCTTCCATCTCATAGACCGCGACAAACTCGGAGCGCCAGTTCGCTTCCAGAGATGCAAGGCTCTATCCAAGGCGGCACATACTGCTTCACCCGTAATCACAGTTCCTCAGAACACCAATCACGCGTACCGATTCATTCAAGTCTGCTGTGCGAACGTAAAATCTCAGCGTCTAAAATGGAGAGCATTGGTAGCACTCAGCTTGGCACTACGTCGCCCGCGACGCCAGTATGCACGCGCCAACAGCCCGCCGAGCATCGCAGCCGCACATATTGGTACCGCTCTCCAAAACTACCCAACCCCCCGATTCGGCCACCCACACCTCAACCGAGCTACATCACCCCTGCAGCATCATGGACCGCCCGCGAAGCATGCCTACGGTTCGCTTGCCGGCTGCTGGGCGGCGCTGCCGTCGTCCGCCAGGCGGCGCTCGCCGCGGGCCGCCAGGCTGCGCCGTCTACCGCTTCCTGTAGCTGCCGTCGCCGTTGCGCGCGGCACGCCGCTCCACCACGTCGGCGGGGACGGTCTTGAGGCTGTGCGCCAGGCCGAGCCGCGAGCACAGGTCGATGAAGGCCGTGGTCAGGTTGGCGCCGTAGCCGGGCAGCTCGGCCGTCTTGTAGTCCCAAGGGAACGAGTGGTGGTAGTTGTGCCATCCCTCGCCGAAGGCGGACAGCGCCACGGCCGCGTTCTCGGCCGGGCTGATATGGCGGTCGTACGGGTGCATGCCCCACATGTGCGCGGCGCTGTTCACCAGCCACGTGCAGTGGAGCGTCATCACGTACTTGAGCACGCTGATGAGGAAGGCGTTGGTGAGACTCTCGCCCCAGAAGTACCACGGCACCACGGTCGGCACCGCGAAGCACACGAGCACCGCCAGCGGCAGGTAGTAGCGCTTCTGGAACATGACCACCGGGTCGGCGAGCAGATCGGAGAGGTCGGTCTTGGCGCCCTGGCGGCGCACCTCCGGGTGCTTGCGCAACACCAGCCAGCCGCAGTGGGCGAAGAAGAAGCCGCGCGAGGCGTTGTGCGGGTCGGCGTCCGTCTCTGAGTGCCGGTGGTGCAGCCGGTGGTCGCGCGCCCACTCGTAGATGTGGTTCTGGCCGGCCATTGTGTACATGAGCATGAGCAGCACGCGCAGCGGCAGCCGCGCGCTGTAGGAGCGGTGCGACCAGAGTCGATGCGCGCCGGCGGTGACGCCCATGCCGCCGATGGCGTAGCAGGCGATGCCGAACAGCGACGTCAGCCAGTGTGCGGCCGTCAGCGCGCGGATCAGCCCCAGCACGGAGAGCAGGTGCAGCGCGACGAAGAAGAGCACGCTGCGCCAGACGAGCGGCGACGGCGGTCGCGCGGCCGGCGCCGCCTCGCCGGCCGGCGCGGCCAGCAGTGGCGCCTCTGACGTGGAGATGTTGGGCGCCATGGCGGAGACGAGGCTGGCCTGTGGGCTTCCGGTGGTCTGACGCTGACCTAAGACGGTGCCGGCGCGGGCTCGCTGTGCGGCGCCGACTGACGGGCGTCGGCGGCGAGTGGGCGGCGGGGCTCGGCGCACGGTGGGTTCTCGCTCTGGTCTCGAGATCGGGCGTCACAGGCCGCCGGCAGCGTGACCCGGTGCTCGCCGCGCTCGCCGATGGGAGCCGCTCGCTCGGCCGCGCCGCTTTTGTACGCGTCCGCTGCGGCCGCCGCACACGTGAAGTCTGAAGTCCGCACCGGCCGGCAGCGGCCTGAACCCCGCGCCGCCGCCGCGCAGCCGGCGCGGCGTGTGACGTCACGTCACGTGGTGCCGGGAGGCGGGGCCTGCCGTCGAATGACGCGCTGGCGGCGCTCGTACGATGCCGGCCGGGTGTGGGCCGACCGGCGCCCCCGGCTACCGCAGCCGCGTGTTGTGACTGGGGAGCGACAGGGGAGGGGGCCGTTTGGGGAAAGGGTGGCGCCTAACGGCGGCGAGGGAGCGTTGGAGAATGGCGAGTTATGCATGGCTCACTCGCCACAGTGGGGTTGTTGCCCGTTCCGCGAAACGGGAGGTGTGGCAGAGTGGTTCTGCGAAGTAGTGTCACGCTGGCGCGGCGTTTGAAGCAGGACGGCCCTGTTGTGGCCGGCTGGTGGCCTGCGGCATGATGTCACTTTATGGCACAGCTGGCGCAGGCCGTGTGTCAGTGGCGCCACGCATCAGGTCGCCGGATAGCGTCGGTCGCCGCTGGTACCGGCTCCAGATCAGGGCACTGGTGTCGAAGGGTGTCAGGCGTGGATGGGACTGGTCCAGACCAGCAACGTGGCGTCGTAAAGTACGAACTGATCCTGGATAGGCGAGGGGGGATATTGGACCGTTCTGTTCGTGGGATACCATTGCGGCCCAAAGCTGCTGCCTTATCGGCCGACACCTGTGCTAGCCTGCAAACAAAGCCGTGGCGGAGCCGAACAGCCGTCCAGGGCGCAGCAAACGCCGCGTGGTGAACGCGGCCGATACGGCGGCCACACCCGAGCCCGCTGCTGGGCAGCGGCGGGCGCCTCGCCGCCTGTTGTGCGCCGCCGCCCACCGGCCGCGAGCCGTGACGATGGTGACCGACGGGTGGTGGCGTTGGCCGCTTCAGGGACCGGCGAGGGAGCGGCAGGGGCGTCGACAGCGCGCCCCGCCCCGCCCCGCCCCGTTCCATTTCGCCCTTCCCTGGCCGCGGCCTCCTCTGGCCGAAATCACCCCGTCACCCTCAGCGTCGTTCGTCTCCCCCCCCCCCCCACGTTCCCAACCGGCGACGGGACTCAGAGCGCAGTTTTTAGTGCTGGTCTTGAACTAGCTGCTTGAAGGGTATGACTACTAAATCACGTATGGACAGATAACTCGGAAAATAGCGGTGTAGCAGTATGGGGTTTTGCGTCTTCATCAGTTATGTTTGGCTCGTTACCAAATTCTTCCGATAGTGCATAAAATATACACAAAATACGCAAAGGCAGTAGGTTGTGTTCCATCTGTATGAAATTTCGAGCCCATATGCCGCTCATCTCCACAGTCCCTTTTCGTTCGTTGCTGTTTGCCGTGAGGCTTTTCCAAGCGACCTTCTGCCACGGCAATGGTGTTTTGCGTACTTTTGGCAATAGAGAGAACGGCACTGCTGTGATTTGCGGTAATGCTTCGGTTTACAACGAAAAACGCGCTGGAGCTTACGCTGTTGCCAGCTTAAAAGCCACCCATGGTTCTGTTCCTAAATTTCGCCTCGACACATTTGCTTGCGATGGCGTCGGGGCCTCGCATGCTAGATACAGCGTCCTCAGAGTGCGCTGTGTCAAGTGCAACCAGTCGTTGTTCACCGACGTCGGGGGTCGGTAACGCGATGGGCTCAGGGGACTTTTGGGCAGCCGGAGGTCCGGAGTTCGATTCCCCGCGCTACCCGTCCTTTCTGCCTGGATGAGAGGCGGGCATGGGAGCTGAGGAGCTCCGAGGAGACTCAGTATCTTCGCTGAATGCGTCGGAAAGCCTGCGCGATGGCAGCATGTGACTGCTTTTGGTGCTGGAGCGGTGTTATTCGTTGTGTTATTCAGACTCAGACTATTATTATAGACTGAGTTATATAGACTAAGTTATTCATACTCCCGAACTTCCATCTATCTCCCCCTGCCGAACCAAAATTATGTTTACCTTGCCGGGTCCCCAGTACGCTAACCAAGGGTGGATGACAGTGCTCATGTATGACCTAACAGAGCGCCTGCATCCACCCCGGCTATAGCCATACCCTTTGCCCCGCTTTTTCCTGGAACAGATTGCTTATCCAACCTCGTGTTTACTTAAGTTGCCGTTAATGTCTGCTCGTTTCTCAGAAGGCCGCTTACATAATACCGAGGATATACGTGCTGATGCAGTCATACGTTTGTCCTCCGCGACGGCGCGCACTTCTTACGGGCGAAGCGAACACCCGTTCACGGCTGAAGGCGTCCGCCACGCCACGAGCGAAGCGAGCACCCGCTCACGGCTGAAGGCGTCCGCCACGCCACGAGCGAGGCGGACACCCGCTCACGGCTGAGGGCGTCCGCCACGCCACGAGCGAGGCGGACACCCGTTCCCGGCTGAGGGCGTCCGCCACGCCACGAGCGAGGCGGACACCCGTTCCCGGCTGAGGGCGTCCGCCACGCCACGAGTGAGGCGGACACCCGTTCCCGGCTGAGGGCGTCCGCCACGCCACGAGCGAGGCGGACACCAGTTCCCGGCTGAGGGCGTCCGCCACGCCACGAGCGAGGCGGACACCAGTTCCCGGCTGAGGGCGTCCGCCACGCCACGAGCGAGGCGGACACCAGTTCCCGGCTGAGGGCGTCCGCCACGCCACGAGCGAGGCGGACACCCGCTCACGGCTGAGGGCGTCCGCCACGCCACGAGCGAGGCGGACGCCAGTTCCCGGCTGAGGGCGTCCGCCACGCCACGAGCGAGGCGGACACCAGTTCCCGGCTGAGGGCGTCCGCCACGCCACGAGCGAGGCGGACACCAGTTCCCGGCTGAGGGCGTCCTCCACGCCACGAGCGAGGCGGACACCCGTTCCCGGCTGAGGGCGTCCGCCACGCCACGAGCGAGGCGGACACCCGTTCCCGGCTGAGGGCGTCCGCCACGCCACGAGCGAGGCGGACACCCGTTCCCGGCTGAGGGCGTCCGCCACGCCACGAGCGAGGCGGACACCAGTTCCCGGCTGAGGGCGTCCGCCACGCCACGAGCGAGGCGGACACTAGTTCCCGGCTGAGGGCGTCCGCCACGCCACGAGCGAGGCGGACACCAGTTCCCGGCTGAGGGCGTCCGCCACGCCACGAGCGAGGCGGACACCCGCTCACGGCTGAGGGCGTCCGCCACGCCACGAGCGAGGCGGACACCCGCTCACGGCTGAGGGCGTCCGCCACGCCACGAGCGAGGCGGACACCAGTTCCCGGCTGAGGGCGTCCGCCACGCCACGAGCGAGGCGGACACCAGTTCCCGGCTGCGGCCCTCGGCGCGCCACGCCAGCGATGAGCAGACATTCAGCGGTGTTTGCAGTGCGAGCGCATGCGGGCCGCGTGGGCTTGTCGGAACACTGGGGCGCGCTCGCGCCCGGCATTACGAATGCGTGCGCCTATTCAGCCGCATTTGCCGCGGCTCATTCGCCTGCGGCCGCCGTTATTGACCAGGCCCAGTCGGCGCGCCGTGCCCGGCCCGTTCCGGCGAGAAGGCCGTGACGAGCGGTGCCGGTGGCGTGGCATTGTTCCTCGCTTCCGTGCCGGTCGCCACGAAAGACTCCGCGGGCAGGTCGGGTTTCCATGCGGTTGCAGGGGTTGCCAGGAACGTGCCGCAGGACCTTATGTCATTGAAGGCTCTGCACGAAGTAGAGAAATATTGCGGGCGGTGAGCGGATGCGAATGGTGAGCAGATTAGGTTTCGTACCGGGTACGAGTTGCGCAGATATGTGGAAATGTTCGATGGTCCAGATTTCGTACCTCGTCATTGTGGTCATGATCTTTGCGTACAAACTGTGCGCCTAATGGTGCTGTGACGTAGCTGGTAATCATTTCAAGGTATCTCAGCTCACCGACGTCTTCCGAGCTTTCCAGTGACTGTCGTGGACTAGCGGGATGCTTTGGAATCACTGTTGATGGCCGATGCCCGCTCTGTTCCGTGTGACGCCAGCGCGTTACCCCTGACGCTCGCCAAGGGAAGCTGGCCGATTGGGTTGGATTCTGGGCGACACACCGAGAGGCGTGTGTTCGATTCTCGCTGTAGGAAGCTTTCATTGGTAGCGTTTGATATCAGGCTATGGTGTTGGTAATGACGGCGGCAGTCGCAGGCGTCAATATAACGAAGTCGTCATCCATTTATTGGTGTTGCGTTGTTGGTAGTTTAGGGCGAGCCGACTGCACTGGTCATTTTGCGTTCATCCATCTACTGAGAGCGACATGACAGTCCGTGCAGAGTATCCCGACGGCCTCCTCCGCGGCGGGCCGGCTGTGCCACCCGCCAGGGCGCCTCCGTTCTGCCGCCGCTGCAGGCCAGACTGCTGCGGTCGGTCAGCTGAGCCCGCGCCGCATCCGTGCACCTCCGCTTGTCTCCGGCAGCATCTGTCTCGCTTTCGCTGCAGATGCGCTGCGGCCGGGCCGCACGGGGCCGTCCGGCGACGCCGGCACGCGGGCCCGACAGATCGCTTGTCCGCGGGCTTGAAAGGCGCGCACACACTGCTCGGCGACGAGTTCACTGTTCCGAGTTGTGACAGTTGCTTGTGTTGCGTGACGCCACCAAGGATCTATGTGTCTTGCCACATTGCTACTAATCGTTGTTTGTGTGGAGCTAACTGGAGCGTGAACATGCCCGCGCTGTGCTTTTACTTCGTTTTTCACTGATGTAATATGCCC